TCCATATGTATTTTAGAAACATCAAGTCAATTTCACACAAAAAATTAAATTAAAGCCTGCTGGAATTTCTATTGGGATTGCTTTGAATCTATAGACCAGTTTGTGATGTATTAACAACTTAATACATCTTAAAATTCAGTCTCCCAATCCATGAATGTAATTTATCTTTTTTTGGAGGATCCACTTGAATTTCTCTCAGCAATGTTTTGTAGTTTCGATCTATATGTCCTGCATGTGTTTTCATAATTTATTCCTAAATATTTCAGTTTGGATGCTATTGTGTCATTTGAAAACAGTTGGATGCTATTGATGTTTCATTTTAACTTGTGTGGCTGATATTTATAAATGCAATTGATATTTGCAATGTTGTTAAATTCACTTAGGTCTAGCAGTTGTTTGTAGATTCCTTAGCACTTTCTACATAAACAACAATGTTGTACATGAATAAAGAAAGTTTTACATCTTTCTGCTTCCAATCTAAAGTAGAATGCATTCAATACAGCAGCACTAAGCATATTTGTTGTTTTTTTTTAATAGAAAACTTTAGAAGGTTGAGGAAGTTCCCTTTATTCCTAAATTGCTCAGAATTTTTAATCAAAGTATGTATTGATGTGCACATACAATATTTTTTCCTTATTCTGTACATGTGGTAAATTAATTGACATGAGGTCATGACATAAGTCTCTTTTATATATTTGTAGATTTGATTTGCTAGTATTTTGTTCAGAATATTTGCATGTGTGTTTGTAAGGGATATTTTTCTGTAGTTCTTTTTTAATGCCTTTGTCAGGTTTTGGTATCAAGGTGACATTGATATATTTTGAATATCAATTATTTGTCAGTTATGTGTATGGAAAGTATTTTCTCCCACTATGTGGCATGACTTTTTATTCTTGTCATCGTGCCTTTTGTTGAGCAGAGATTCTTAATTTTATTGTGCTCAGATAAATAATAATGTTTTCCTTTGGGTTTAAGTGCTTTATTTGTGTTTGCTTGAGGTTAACAGTCTTTATTTGCATGTTCCAGGAAGCCAAAAGAGGTCCAGTTGGTTTAGGGTGTGTTAGAAGGCAGCTAGTGGCCGGGTGCAGGGGCTCACGCCTGTAATCCCAACATTTTGGGAAGTCGAGGCGGGCGGATCACTTGAGGTTAGGAGTTTGAGACCAGCCTGGCCAACATGTTAAAACCTCGTCTCCAGTAAAAATATAAAAATTAGCTTAGCATGGTGGCGCACACCCATAATCCCAGCTACTCAGGAAGCTGAGGCAGGGAATCACTTGAAGCCAGGAGGCAGAGGTTGCAGTGAGCCAAGATAGTGCCACTGCACTCCATTCTGGACAACAGAGTGAGACTCTGTCTCAAAAAAAAAGGCATTTGGTACACACTCGAATTTTGGGTTATCCTTGAAAACAGCTTTGATAAGCACTAAAGGTTATTTGGGTTTTTATATTAATATTCAATTTACTGAAATAAACTAAAAATCTAGTAATCCTTAAGTTCTTAGCTTTAATTAAAATCCTAATATTCTATTTATAAATCTAAGGGGACTTTTACAATTTAGTTGACCAAATTCTCCAAAATTTTTTAGGTTACGTGTATATTAACATACTCTAGTTTCCTTTTGTGTGTACGTGTGTATGTGGGTGGGTGTGTGTGTACAAATATAGGAACATTGTCAATTTTCTTTTTAAACACTGCATATGTCTCTAACAAGCAAAGACTTCCCATGAACACAGATGAATGTTACAAATTTAATAAAAGAAACGTATAATTTTGAGTGTTGTCTTCTTAAACAATATTTGTTGACAAAATTGTTTTTAAAGTAGAATACCTTTCAACTTTATAATCATAAGATTAAGTCTCTTATGGAAGCACATCATTAAAATTGGAATTGTAAGTAATCTGCCCCATATGCCAAGTTCTTATGCACACGTTAAATACTCAACATGTACAAATTAGTCCTAAAATACTCAATATGCGCAAATTAGTCCAAAAACTAATGCCAAAAATGTCAATGCCATTGGTGTTGTTTATTTTGTTTTATTTTCTCCATAAGTAATTATAAACACTTGCACGTTTTTAACTAAGGCAGTAGTTTTTAGCAGGCAGTCGTTTTTAACTATTAATACTAAGGCAGTAGGTTAAGGCAGTAGTTTTTAACAGGATGGTACTGCCCCCTAGGGGGCATTTTGGAAATCTGATGGTGTGCTTTTATTAGTCAGCAATTGGCAAGCGGATGCTTGTATTTAGCTCTTGGGTGGGGACAGGGGCCTGACAAATGAAATAGATAAGACAATCCTGCACAGCTGAAAGTTACCCTGTATAAATTTCAAAGAGCTCATCATACAAGCAAAAAGCTCATAATTATTTAGGCCTAGAACTTAACCATGTTTTATGTGTTTTTGGCATAGTTTTAATATAGATTGAATTTTTAGGAATTTTGTTATCTTGTAAATCAGGGAGAAATCGTACTTTGATTTGCTCTGAATTTTGCCAAGAGTTATTCACCATTTCAGAAAATCATGTCACCGGTAGCAATGTACTGCAGCCTGTATTTGCAGCTCCCTCATTCATAGTGATTAAATGTAGATATATGTATATAAATATATAGATACGTCTCTTAGATCCTTGTTTTGAAACATCAAATATAAGAAAATAAGCATTGGCCGAGTGCAGTGGCTCACGCCTGTAATCCCAGCACTTTGGGAGGCTGAGGCAGGCGGATGATGAGGTCAGGAGTTTGAAACCAGCCTGGCCAACATGATGAAACTCCGTCTCTACTAAAAATACAAAATGGTGACGTGCTCCTGTAATCGTAGCTACTTGGGAGGCTGAGGCAGGAGAATTGCTTGAATCTAGGAGGCGGAGGTTACAGTGAGCTGAGATCCCGCCACTGCACTCCAGCCTGGGCGACAGAGCAAGACTCCATCTCAAGAAAAAAAAAAAATTAAGAATTTACCATTGAATATTGTATCATCTTAAATCCCAACTTATATGGGTGCAAACAACTCATTCTTTCATTATACCTTTTGGTGTAATAGTGCTTGAGCATGTACATATTGAAATATACACTATTTTATTACAAATAATTTTCTTTTATTTCTCTTTTGTTTGGGCAATACCTTGTGTGTAACTGTAATAGAGGATGTTATCTATGAATTTCATTTCAGGATAGTAGAGAGCATTACAAAGTATTTTTTAATCTTCACAAAAAATGTGTAGCCCTGGATTAACAATTCTGATACTGCTGTGCACAGTCAGATTTTAAATCAGATAATAAATTTATAAGATTGAAACAGTGAGATATTGTTGCCAGAAGAGATAGCTTTTTGGAACAGAACAGAAAATATCCAAATAGATAATACTGGTATATATACCAGCTAATAAGTTTTGAATATAAAGATGAAATATCAAATCGAAGATGAAATTTAAGATGATTTAATAATGGTAGTGGAACAACTGGCTAAGACATATATGGATACATGAAACACTATATGTACCAATCTAAATTCCAGATGGATTAAAGTAAATCTTAAATAGCAAACCCCAGAAGAATCTAGAGAAAATACAAGTGACAGTGTATTGAATAGCTAGTAGAAATGGCCTTTTCTAAAGACAAAAATAATAAAGTAAAAGATTGATAAGTTTGCATAAATATTAAACACTTTTCTGTTTTAAAAAAAACACCAAAAAGGCAGGAATGAAGCATAAATAAAAATTTGCAACATCTATGAGAATGGATGAAGATAATTAATAGATCATTAATTCCTATATATCAGTGAGGAAAAAAATACTTCAGTAGAACAAGGATCCAAGAATATGACAAGATAACTCACAAAATAAGGAGTACATGAAGGTAATAAACTTAAAGATAGTTTAGTCTCACTAGTGGTGAAGAGGAATGTATACTAAAATAAGTCACCTATTAAATCAACGAAGGGTTTTTTTGTTATTGTTTCTTAACGACAAAGCTAGTTGTTAGTGAGGAGGAGAAAAAAAATAGATCCTCCCACATACTTCTGGGAAAATGTAAACTGATGACACTATTTTTGAATGCCAACATTACAACGTAGGTATCAGGTGCTATAAAAAATGCATAGTTTCTGGCCCAGCAGTTCCACCTCCAGGAATATACAGAAAATACTTTGTGCCCATAATGTTAGCGCTTCATGCTAAAATAACTTATCAGAGCGAAAATTAGACTTTAAACCCTTAAAAGGGTGGGGGGGGGGTCGCTGATACGTTGAACCCACAGGGATGGAATATTTAATGACCATTAAATATCATATTGAAGTTCTGGGAAAGGCAAATGGGCGGGCATGGTTGCCAGGAGCAGGTCGGGGGTGACTCCGAAAGCGCATGAGAGAATTTGATGGAGGAGGGGGCGGGGCATGTAAATAACATGGTCTGAATCAGAGCTGTCAAAGTCGCCCAGACTCATGGAAGTGTACACTAAAAGGGTGAATTTTACTTTGTGTAAATTACATACATCTTAATAAAGTTGACTTTTTAAAAATCTTGTTGAAGAATATTAGACAGCCTGGGGAAATCTAAATGGTTGATTAACTGAAGTGAGTAATTGGCAAGGCAGAGTGTGATGGGAACTCGGCCTGTGGTGGAGGGGGTGTTTACACACTCAGCGGAGACACAGGCTGGAAGGAAAAGTGCCAGAATGTGTGTATATTAGTGTCTCTCTGGAAGTTAAACATCGTTTATTAAATTAAATTAAACATCGTTTTTCTCCGTGCATTTTGTTTGTTTGTTATTGTTGTGTTGCTTTTGGTTTTGGTTTTGGCTTTTGCAACTAACAGCTCTTCTGTTATTGGCGGGGTTGGAGTGGGGCCGGTGCTACAGCAATTTGGAAGCATGGCTCACTTGCTATGGCTTCCAGGTTGTTTCCAGCTCTTTTCTCTTCGGTAGATCCGTCGTCAAGCCGGGGCAGGCGAGCCGGGAGTCCGGACGGCGCCCGGGCGAGCGGGGTGGGGCGGCGGGGCGGAGTCTGCGTCTCTCTGGGGCTGCCAGAGTGGGCGTGTCCCTATTGGGTGGAGGGGGAAGTAACACCGCAACAACGCTGTCATTTCCTGGGCCGAGTTGTGACCTGGAGACGGCCTCAGCATGATGAGTGAGTCTTGCTTCCCCAGGGGGCGGGCAGGGTGGGCTTGGGGCAGGCCTCCCCTTCCCTAGCCCAGGAAGGGACATTGAATAGCTTCCTTCCCTGACTTCATCAACCAGCTGACCTACTGACTCCCTCTCCCTCCCTTCCTCCCTCCCCCTCCTTTTCTACCTCCTTTCCCTCCCCCTCCCTTTGTGCCTCTCTCTCTCCCCTTTCTCCTCTTTACCCTCTCCCTCTGCCTTCCCCTCTTCCCCTGGCTCTCTCTCTCTAGAACAGGCAGCTGCTGCTGCAGTGGGAGGAGGTAAGTTGCCCAGCTCTCCTGTCTCCAGGCCCTCACCTAGCCTGGTCCTGGGGGTGCTGGTAGACCGCAGAGATGAGGCGCAGAGCTGGCTCTCCCCACTCACCCTCCACTTCCGAAGCTGCCTGAGTTGCCTGAGTGAGCCATAGGGGCCGGGAGCAGCATCAAAATACTCCAGGGAAAAGCTCACTCCCATTCCAGCCCCACCTTGTCCTCTAGTCCTTATGTAGAATAAGCATAGGAGGAAGATTTCGTTTGAAAGAGCGTTTGCAGGTAAACTCCACATGGCTTATTTCACATTTATGCGTGGACACACACACACACACACACACACACACACGCACACAAACTTGAGACCCAATAAAGGGTATTGACTTCTCCAGCATCACACAGCAAGTTAGAGACAAACCAGGGCTATGCCTGGTCCTTCTATGACATCTTTGCCTCACCTGGCTCCACACTCCACCTTTTCTTCACCACGAGCCCCCTAAGCTGCCATGTCTCTATTGCTCAAGCTGACAGTTGTCCGAAACTGTCAAGGAATTCCTAAGCAGGGGGGGCGGGGAGGGTCCCTTCTCCTGAGCCCACCTCTGCACTCAACTTCTCTCTCCCCACAGCCCTGGCAGTGGGGGCTGTGCCCGTGGTGCTCAGTGCCATGGGCTTCACTGGGGCAGGAATCGCCGCATCCTCCATAGCAGCCAAGATGATGTCCGCAGCAGCCATCGCCAACGGCGGTGGGGTTTCTGCGGGGAGCCTGGTGGCTATTCTGCAGTCTGTGGGTAAGTGTCCTGGACAGGACCCCCAGAGCTGGGAGAAGATCCAGCCCTGAGGCTGAGCCCGAGGGAGGCCCTCTCGTTGCCCTGCAGTTACATGACCCTCAGCTTCCTGGGTCTTCAGTCTCTCCCTCACTGTCCCTTCTTCTGGCTCCTTGTGAGTGAGGTTTGGGGTGGGAGTGGATAGGGTATTGGGGTGCTGGATAGGGAGAAGAGGAAAGGAACCCAGGCCAAGAGCCATGCCTGGGCTCTGACACCTGGGTGACCTGGGCAAGGTCCCCTGCCCTCTCTGGGCCTCAGTGGCCTCCCGTGTAAAGTAAGGGGCCCTGTATCTCTTAGGGTCTGTCTGTGGATGACTCTCCCTCTATCTCTCAGTTTCCGTGAATTCACCCCTGAGCTGTCTTTTAGCTGCCTCTAGCAGCTTCTACCCAAAGCAGAGCCCTGGGATTTTTAGGACCTGGAGGAGGGATCTAGGTGGGATTTCTGGGCCACTGCCAGACCCCTGTGCTCATTCTCTGTCTCCTCCACAGGAGCAGCCGGACTCTCCACATCATCCAACATCCTCCTGGCCTCTGTTGGGTCAGTGTTGGGGGCCTACTTGGGGAATTCACCTTCTTCTCTCCCAGCTGAACCCAAGGCTGAAGGAAATGAGGCAACAGAAAATGTACCCCAAGGTGAACCTCCAAAACCCCCACTCAAGTCAGAGAAGCCTGAGGAATAAAGGTCACATGCAGATGCATCTCGCTGTCTTTGTTTCTTGCAGCTCTGGTTGGAGTTCTGAGCTAGAAGTTTCCAGTTCTCCCCCTCTCCCAGCCTCCCTTGTCGTGGAGGGGCAGAGGCAGGTGGTTGGCCATGCAGAGAATCGGCTTTGGTTGGTCTCAGTCTTACAGGGATGGGCTGTATGACCCAGGGCCATTCATGGGCCTTTTCTGGGCCTCAATTTCCCCCTTATTCAATGGTGGCATTGTCACAGGCTCCTGTTGGGAGGCAGGGGTGAGGGGTGGCCAGGGCACTTCAGGAACCGCTGACGGTAGAGCCCTCTGCTCCTCTTCATTAATGGCACTAGATACCCAGAATGAGCAAGAACACCATCCTTCCCTTGCTCAACCTCAATCTTGTCAGAAGGCTGATAAGCCAGCCAGCAGGAAAACACAATGTGTCAAGTGTTACACTGGGGCTCTGGGCACTTTGAGGGGTGGAGGCTGAGTCAGGTTTGGTCACCAAACTGTGTCTGGAAAACTGAAGGAGAGGCTGAGTTCATGCATGAAGACCTGGAACTCTGACCACACCCTCACTGTGTTAGTCTATTTTGGGTAGCAATAAGGGAATACCTGAAGCTGGGTCATTTATAAATAAAAGAGGTCTATTGGGGCCACAGTTCTGCAGACTGTACAAGAAGCATGGTGCCAGCATTTACTGCTGGTGAGGGCCTCAGGAAGCTTACAGTTGCAGAAGGGGAAGGAGGAGCAGGTATGTCACGTGGCAAGAGAGGGAGCAAGAGAGATGCCAGGCTCTTTTAAGTAGCCAGCTGTCTTGTGAACGAATAGAGTGAAAACACTCGTTACTGTGGGGAGGGCACTGAGTCATTCATGAGGGATCCACCCCCATGACCGAAACACCTGCCACTAGGCCCCACTTCCAACACTGGGGAATCACATTTTAACATGAAATTGGGAGGGTACAAACATCCAAACTCTATCAGTCCCTAAAGACTCCAGTCTTTATTCACATGATGGATGCCACAGTGGATGGGAGGGGTCCACACGGATCCCCAGGAGACTATGATGTCAGGAGAAACTGGGCACTTACCCAAACAAAAGTGACACAGAGCATTATGTTCAGTGCGGTGATGGACCCCAGCCACGAGCAGGGAGCACAGAGGAGGCAGGGATCTGTTCTCATACCTGGGGAGGCTTCCTGGAAGAGGAGGCAAAAGGCTTGGGCCTTGAAAGGCGAATGGAAGTCTGACAGAGGAGGAGGGAGGCAAAGGGAAAGGTGTCCCAGGAGGAAGTAAGTCCCAGCTGCTCAGTGAGAGAACTGGAGAGGGATATGTAATTGGGGGTGTCCATGGCAGCGTGGGTGGAAGGCAATACCTCTGAGAAGCCAGCGAGAGGAGGGGAACCTTTAGGTAGCCCTGGAGAGCCTCGGACGCAGTAGGGAACTCCCAAACGTGGAGGTTTCACAAGGAGGCAGGTCTGGTCTGGATGACGTGCAGCTGTCCTTCTGCCCCCATACATTTTCTATGCTGAGGCACATGCGTGTCTGCTGCTCCTGAAACTCCCCTGTATTTTGTGGGACAGAGACCTAGGCTCTGAGCCCCCCAGAGGACAAAAGCAGCCCAGGCCCCACAAGGGGAGCATCCTGGTCCCCATCTTCCTCCCAAGGACTGCCTGCACAGCTGAACCCAGCAAAGAGAGGCCAAGTGTCCAGGAACAAAAGCTGGGGCCTTTTCCCCAAGGGCTCAGGTATGAAGGGGTGACTGAGAAGGCTGCCTCTCCTCCCCTCCAAGGGATCAGCATCCACTACCCAGAGAACAGAGCAGAAGGGGCATCTGTCTGCTTCTGTCTCGTCTGGAGGTCTCAGCATCTTGCTCCTTCCTGCCATTTTCCTGGCCCCTCAGAAACTGTCACCGCTAAGGGCTCCTGCCCATGACCCATGGGACAGCTCCAGCCTCCCCCTCTGGAGACCCAGATATGGCAGGGATGGAACTGTTTCCCTTCATTCTCCTAACCTTTGGCTCCCACCACCTTTAGGCCAGGCTGTGTGATGAGTGTCATCAGGTGAGAGTAACAGAGGCCCTCCTTAGATGGGATGGTCAAAGACGGCCTCTCTGAAACAGAGATGCCTTGCATAAGACCTTAAGGACAAGAGAGAATTTCTTAGCTTTAGCCTTTGGAAAACTGAAAAATAATAAATAATTTAAAAATAAAATAAAATAATTTTCTTAAAACAAACAGAAATAACATAGGATGGGAGATGACTATATTTATAAGTAAGTTAGACTTTTTTGGATCCCCTTGTTCCCCAAGGAGGAACTTCATGGTTATTCATAACTCCTACCCTGGTGACAGGCATTCTTGGGTGTCCCCTGATGCTCCATTCACTGTCAGGGCGAAGTCTCACTTCCTGCCAGAGAAGCCTCATTCTCTGGAGGTGTTTTAAAGAATGAGGTATAAGTAGAAATACAAGTTCTAAAATTTCTGCCCACACTCTAACAGATGGTCTTAAGGCAGCCTTCTGGGTGCACACAAGGCATCTTATAGACCACTTGGCAACCTATCAAGAAGGAAGAGCTGGCCAGGTACAGAGACTCATACCTGTAATCCCAGAACTTTGGGAGGCCAAGGAGGGCGGATCACTTGAGTCCAGGAGTTCCAGCCTGGGCAGCATGGCAAAATTCCATCCATACAAAATATACAGAACTTAGCCAGGTGTACTGGCACATGCCTGGATCCCAACTACTTAGGAGGCTGAGATGGGAGGATCTCTTGAGCCAGGGAGGTGGAGGTTGCCATGAGTCGAGATTGCGCCACTGCACTCCAGCTTGGGCAACAGAGCAAGACCCTTTCTCAAAAAAAAAAAAAAAAAAAAAAAAAGGCCAATCTACAAAATCATTACTTTCCTTGAACCCCTAGGATAGCTGAGGTTGCAGGGGCACCAAATGGCCTGAACTCTCAGGACAGTAAGATGCCTCCAAGGAGAGACAGGACTCTGAATCACTGAGCCCCCTGGGGTCCACTGTGCAAGCGAGTAAGGAATCAGCTAAAAGTCTTAAGTGATTGCTAAAGGCCAACTAAGACTCACATGAGTGTATAGAACCTTCGGAAGCCGCAGACACAGCATGGGTCCCACCAACCTGCAGACCCTTTTCCCTGCGGGCTGGGTCCCTGCAGGGTCCTGGAGAAATCTTCCCTGGGAGGGGTAAGACTGGAGGAAGGGAGCAGGAAAAGCATCAAATACCCCCACCTTCCTTCTCTTCTAGAGGAAGGGCACAAAAACCTTAAGCCGTGGGGGAAAGACAGCCAACCCTGTAGCTTCCAAGGCTCATGCAAAGGCAATTGCAGAAGGAGAAGAAATAGTAAAACCCTCCGCCCTTGGGGAAGAGCAAGAAACCATCCTGAGCCCAGACCTGGAGACCTGCTACCCTTAGGAGAGGGGCAGGGATCTTGAGAAAATGCCACCCCTAAGCCCCAAATACACAGGGCCTGCCTAGACTGAGGCTGGCTGAGGAACATAGAGAATCCCACTTCTCCCATCCAACCAGGCTAGTAAGTAACAAGCAAACAGATGTCTACCACTGGGGATGGGGCAGAGACCATATCCAAGGCTCAGGCACCATGCAGAAGCTTAAAGACACTGAGCAAACTCCTGTGCAAGCCAACCTCCACCCTAAGCACGGGATAACACTGATCTGAAGCCAATGGCACGCTCATAGCAACCCCAGTGTCTTAGTCTGTTCATTCTGCTGTAACAGAAAACCACAGACTGGTTAATTTATAACTAATAGAAATGTATTGGCTCACAGTTCTGGAAGCTGGGGTGTCCAATATCAAGTTACCAGTATGTCTGAGAGCCTTCTTGCTGCATCATCACATGACGGAAAGTGGGAAGATGAGAGAGAAAGAGAGGGCCAAATTCACCCTTTTATAATGGCATTAATCTCACCCATGCGGGTGGAGCCCTTGTGGCTTACCTCTTGAAGGTCCTCTTTCTTAATACTGTTACAATGGCAGTTACATTTCCGCATGAGTTGGAACAAACATTCAGACCATAGCATAGGGCAACTACAAAACCCAAGTCCAGCTGGACTCCTGCTTGGTTTGACTCAACCCCCGGGGAAAGGCCTAGCCAGAAAAAAGACATACACATTTCCCAGCATGAATATCATTTGTCCTGTCTGTACTGTTGCCCCTACCCGCTACACTCTCTCTGCCAGTCCCTGCCTACTACTCCCTACATCCAGCACCTTTGACCCTCCCTCCCAGTGTCACCCCCATGAGGCCCATAAGACAGGCTGAAAGTGTCCACGCACTGATCCAGAATAGACCTCAGCCAATGATGGATGGGAGTCAGGGGATTAACACTCTACAAGTGGGACAACTCTTGCCTGTTCCACATTGTCTCCAGTGGTCCCCAGCGGGATTGAGCCTCAATGGCCCACATTGCAAAGTCACTCATTAATCAACCCTTTCTGGGCTGCCTTCCCTTCCATTGCTCACCTCCCCATTCTTCTGTTGGTGTTTCCTGGGATCACCTCCCAAATAAGCCACTTGCACTCAAATCCTTGTGTATTAGTCTGTTCTCATGCTGCTAATAAAGACATACCCAAGACTGAGTAATTTATAAAGAAAAAGGGGCTTAATGGACGCACAGTTGCACATGACTGGGGAGGCCTCACAATCATGGCGGAAGGCTAAGGAGGAGCAAAGGCACATCTTACATGGCAGCAGCATGAGAGCGTGTGCAGGGGAACTGCCTTTTATAAAACCATCCGATCTAGTGAGACTTATTCACTATCATGAGAACAGCACAGCACAGCCCCCGTGATTCAGTTACCTCCCACTGGGTCCCTCCTACAACACATGGGGATTATGGGAGCTACAATTCAAGACGAGATTTGGGTGGGGACACAGCCAAAACATAACATCTCGTCTTGGGGTCTCAGCCTAAGGCTGCTTCCCACTCTCTTCTCTGTCCCCACTCAGAAGCCCATAGGCCTGAGCCTAAGATAGCCACAGC